AAGAAAACAAAGCTCACTGCCAGAGTAGCCTCTGCCTGTTCCCGAGGCTGGAACTCTTTCATAGGACCAGAAAGCCTCACCTTTCTCCCTTGGAGTGGCTGGTGGTTTTGAACGACTGACCTTGCACACTGAAACTAATACTGACTATAAATCGATGTGGTTAGGGATGACAGTGTAGGGAAACAGGGGACATTTTAGAGACAGGTGACGTGATAGGGAGCACTGGGCAGAGAACAGGGAGTGGGGAGCCGAGGGCACTGGTCGCGCGCCTGTGAGGGGTTTCAGTTCTTGGAGTCTCCTTCCCACTGGGATGGTCAGGTGGTTACTACAGCAAGGGCCACCTGGGTCCAGTAGCCTGACTACATTTGCTGGGAGGAGGAAGCAAGGTCTTGTGGCAATCGCCCCGGCCAGGGTCAGTCGGCAGGGCGGGAGAGGTGGTGGTGGGGCGGCTCATTGTCACTGCAGCCTTTCTGCCTCCAGATGGGCAATCTCTGGTGGGCGTGCCAGGCCAACAGCCTTCAGGCCCCAGAGCCTGGCCTGGCCCCCTTGCCTGTGAGCATCAGCTGCCCAGCACAGCGCCTCGCCCACCACTGCCAGGACCTCCTCTAAACAACAGTAACTGAGGGCCAGGGACCATCCCTGGACACGGTCAGTCCTCACAAAGCCCGGACAAACCTCCGAGATAAGGCAAAGACCAGGCGGAAGAGGACGAGTCGGGTCAGGGGTCGGCCAGGAGTCCACCATGCAGGGGCAGGGCTCCAGAAGGTACCCGTGAACTGCGAAGTGGAGGCAAAAACTCCTCCTGGATTATGACTCGCAGCGACCCTACACAAGAGGGTGCACCTGTTCCTGGGGTTTTGGGACTGCCTTTCTCCTGAGGAGCAGCTGGTGGTTTCCAACTGCTGATCTTGCGATGAGTCACCCAGTGTATCGCCCACTATGCCACCAGGGCTCCTCGGAGGTAATGCTCAGTGCTGGCTGGGTGTACTGACCACTGGACGTTAGACCATCACTTTAATGTGTGGAAGAAAGAAGGGGCTCTCTACTCCTGTAAAGGGCGACAGCCTCAGTTCCACCCTGTCCTGCAGGCTAACCATGAGCCTGCAAGGACTCGATGGCAGCAGGTTTAAGTATGCCATCGCAGTGGTGAGAGAAACCAGCGTGGGGCTGCAGGGCAGAGGAGCCAGCCCACCATGCGGGCGACCCTGGGCTGGTCGTGCACCCCGTCCGTCCTACCTGCTGCAGCTGCTGTTGACGATGCTGCTGTAGCTGCCCCGGGTGGCGGGAGGTGAGGGCGAGGCAGGTGTTGGTGAGGTCTGGCGTTGTTTCAAGAAGATATCTGCGTTGAGGGTTTGCAGAGAAAGTTTATAAAGACTGTCGGCAGCTGTGGGTGAGAAACAGAAGGCTGCATCAGTGTGGCAGCTCGATCTCCACTCTTCCCGACCCGCTGCGCTCTCGGCAGCACATCTGACTCTCAAGCCCTTCTGCGAGAATGACGAGGCAGATTCCAGCGCTCGTCTCTGCTCCGCTGAAGTCCTCAAGGCCAAAGGAAGGCCTGTCTGCGTGATGGGGCTTGCGTTGCAGGTGTGCCCAGGGCTGGGCGCGCGTTGGAAGTCCCCTCGGTCATGGGTTTACTTTCTTTTGAAGGTGAAGCCTCTGAGGGGGACCCTGGGGTCAGTGTCGCCACCCAAGTCTGCACATGGGGCATGTACACTGCCCCAGGCCAAACAGCCCGAGTTCTCCACCAAGGCACCCCACTTGTGCCCCAGGGGTACTCTCTGTAGCACTCTCTGTGTTGGGGAGCCCGGTCCCTGTTGAGGGACCACGTGCTCAGTAAAGTGGGCGCTCCCTGTGCTGACGACCTGTGGTCCCATTCAAGCACATTCCTAGAGTGTCTGATGAGTCCACGTACATGGCTTTGACTTATTTTACAAGAACACATAAAATGTTAAATCAAATGAACAGGAAAAGGATCCAGGAGAGAGCTGGAACCCTAAACAAGGGCTGCCTGGGCCCCTCCTGCTTCTGCTGAGGTCCTGGGGGTGGGGTGGTGCCGTGTGGAGTCTACGGGCAGCCCACGTCTTTGCCACTGCAGCTCCATGCTTCGCACGCCTGTTGGGAGACGCTCTAGCGTCAGCTTCACGCCCAGTCCTGCTCGTCTTCCTTCCTCAGACCCGGTCCGGTCGACCCAACCCCCAGTGAGTGGGGACAAGTCCATCCTAAGGCTACACCCTGGGCCTCTCATGTCCCTTCTCTTGTCTGTCCGCTGCTGGAGGTCATGAAGCTTCTTGTCTAAGAGCCTTCTCCATGTTTGGAGCCCGTACCTACTGTGCATTCACTGAGGCCCGAGGTCACGTAGTGGGAAGAGTTCGCCGAGAACTACTTAGGGAAGTCTTTGTATGATTAACTACGCCCCCCCCCCCCCCATAACAAAGCACTGGGCAGTGGGGTGTGGGGTCCTGGCTCCCGGGGAGCAAGCTCTCCTGCGCACACACTGCTGATGTCTGGGCGTGAGCACTTTCCACGTGGGGGTCTCAGCTTAGCAGTACTTTCAACCCCTGGCCAGCCTGTCCAACAGCGGGCTGCACGCTCACAGGACAGGGTCTCCTCGGGAAGAGAACGGTACGCAGGGTAGCGGAGGGGCAATGGCTGAGGGAGGCCCTCGCCGGGAGGGACTGACACTGCGCTGCAACAAGGGGCTCCCACAGAGCCACTCTGAGGGGACGGGCAGGCCTGGGCGCGTTTCCTGCTGCTGCACCCCGGTGGCTAGGAGGCGGAACCAACTCCATGCCCTACAGGTGGGGGCGCTGTGCTAAGTGGGGCGTGTCCGTTTCTTAGGTCTCCATACTTACAGCTACCCGGTTTGTGGACAGGCACAGAGTCCCACTCCGGGGGAGGAGAGTCCTTCTCGCCCTCCGAGCTGCTCGTGTTGCCCAGTTCTTGACTGCTCGGGAGGAATTTGGCGAGGGCAGGCGGCCTGCTGTCCGCTAACTTACTTGTACCTGTGCAAAAATCAGAAGAGGAAGTTGCTGCCTGAGGACCGTCTCTTTCCTTCAGCCCTATTGCCATGAGCCTTCCAACGAGAAGAGCAGTTGCAGCCTTTATGTGACTTATAATTACAGCTGATTACCCACTGCTAACCAGGGGTGGCTCAGAATCCATTCAGAAGAACATGTGTATGGGCAAAACAACAATACCTTTCGCTTTCTGGGAATTTCGTGACTTGGATCCAGTCATCAATGCAGTTGGAAGCGGAATCTTGGTCGGGAGGTTTCTACGTTGCTTACTTTCCAACGGGGGCGTATAAGGTAGCTCTACCGAACTGAAAGGCAAGTGTGACAGGAAATTCAACTTTATCCATTTGCATTTGGTGCCGAGGAGAGACGTCATCAGTACGTCAATTCCCTGCTCTGGTTTGTCATGTACCCACGGTCCCGACTCAGGTTCTGAGACCACCGCTCAGACTGTTCCACCGACTCGGTGTACTTTCCCTCTGAGTGCTGACAAAGGGGGTTACCTCAGGCAACGTACATAAAACCCCTTGCATCAACGGCCCACTCTGGGCTGCTGGGCAGTCATTCTGCGTGTGGGCGAGCCTCTCTCAGCACCTAGGCCACTCACGATTCTTGAATGTGGAGATGCACCAAAGGGCATCTGAACACTTTTTCTCACAGGGACGGGTAAGAACAGCCACGGCAAGCCCACAGAATCTGTGTCCCACTGCAGATCTGGGGGACCGGGTTCTTCTAGTGACTCGGAGGGCGATTGGGGGGAAATGAATTTTTGCCTATTCTTCAACTAATCCTAGGAAAAACATTTAAATACTGTGTTTTCTTTTTTACGTGATCTTAGATGCTTTCTAAAGGATTTTGAGGCCAGTTTTGGAGAATAGCCCAACCCACTCCACTATGCAGGATTGACTGCGATTCGTAGAGACCCGAGAGGTGGGAGTAAAGCTGCCTCCTCGGGTTCCCAGGGCTGTGATCTCTACAGGCTGTGATCTCTTCGTCCCAGGGAGACTGCTAGGTACGAACTGCTGACCTCTTGGTCAGCTGCTGTGATGAACCACTTCACCATCAGGGCTTGCTTACGACAGTAAACACGCGCACACGACACCACACGTGGGCTTTGCATGTCCTGTAGATGTGAAGTGTGCCCGGGGCCGTTCCTGCTGGTGACCTCTGGGGAAACCCAGGGTCCACCTGACCAGAGGGCGCTGCACTGTCACAATACCAGCCTCAAGGGCGGTCTGTGCAGAGCAGCTGCTTGAAAGGCACACCAAGAGCAAGGGTGGGCCTTGGGAGGGAGCTTCTGCGACGCCAGCTGTTCAGCCATCTCCCAGGGAAGGCTGAGAGGAACCTCCGACACTCGCCAGGGAGCGCCACCCTTGGTGACATGGAAAAGCTGTCCGAGAACGGCTGCGCCCGGCCCTTCCTTTTCATGCCGTGGAGGGACGCTGGGCGTGCCACACCTGAAGTGCCCTTCCTGCTCCTCCCACCACACCACGCACGCCTCCCTTTCCTTTCAATCCGCCCCGACCCTCTAAAATTCACTGATATTGTTGTTGTTGAGAATGTACACAGCAAAGCACCTCGACTCAACAGTTTCTGCACGGACAGGTTAGTGACACGCTCATGACAAGTTCTGGCTCGTGCAACCATTTTCACCTCCCATTCTGAGTTCCTCTGAGGGTCCAGCAGCCCGTTTCCACTAGGTTCTAGCACGAATGCTGACCAGATTCCAAACGTCAGAGGCTTTACACCTTCCAGAGATCCCAGGCACCATGGCAACCACTCCCCCACCTCCCCACAAGACAACAACAAACCACTGGCGGAGCCCGCACAGCACGGAGAGTGTCATCTCTCTGGACCAGGCGGGCAGGACCGGGTGGGAAGCAGGACTAGTCAACGCAGGGCGCACGGGGAACAGGTGCCCTTCCTTACCAGGTGGGTAGTGCAACCAGGGCCACAGGACGGGGACCCACTGCTGCATGGAAAAGGGCCCACTCAGGTGACAGTAGGGAGTAACAAGGTGTGTCCCCATTTATCTATAATTCACAACTTTCCTCTAACAAACAGGGATGCTATTGGCAATTAGTGAAGAGCTAAGAGGAAGGCACCTTCTGTTAGACGGAGGAACTGGGATGTAAGCAGGAAAACAGACTGAGTGCACACTCGGTACTGCTCGGGGCGAGGCCTGCCGCTACACTTCTCAGACTTACGGGTCCGTGAAAACTCCATCCTTTCAAGTGACAAGGCCCTCACGACACACTTAGTCCTATGGTGGTGGAGGTGGTATGCATGTGCGAGTTATTTTTGAATTACTCATTTATAAGTGGAAAGAATGTCTATTTATATAAAGCTTAGCTCTGTACCACTGTCAAATTAATAGGCCTTTAAGAAAAGAGGTGCCAGACAACAATCTTAATTTTGATCATTCATACTTTCCTAAATTAAGCCAGACGATCTCTATCAAGAAACCTTAAACAACAAAAAAAGTTTCGGAGTAAATGGACAGAGCACCAGCTGAACTTCAGCCTGTCTTCCTGAAAGGGTGCAAGAGAGTTGGTGCAGATGCCGAGCTGATTGGTTGTACTGACGTGGTGCCTGCTCTTTCAGGGAGGGGGAGGGGTGGGGAGGCAGTGCTTAGTGCAGTCAGGGTCATGGTCAGAACAGAGTTGGGCGCTCCCTGTGCTGACGACCTGTGGTCCCATTCAAGCACATTACTAGAGTGTCTGATGAGTCCACGTACATGCCTTTGACTTACTTTACAAGAACACATAAAATGTTAAATCAAATGAACAGGAAAAGGATCCAGGAGAGAGCTGGAACCCTAAACAAGGGCTGCCTGGGCCCCTCCTGCTTCTGCTGAGGTCCTGGGGGTGGGGTGGTGCCGTGTGGAGTCTACGGCATGATGGAAAAAATGGGCAGCCCACGTTTTTGCCACTGCAGCTCCACGCTTCGCACGCCTGTTGGGAGACGCTCTAGTGTCAGCTTCACGCCCAGTCCTGCGCATCTTCACGGCTGTTGCTGTGTGTGAGCCTGTTGCTGTAGTCATGGTGTCGGCCCATCTTGAGGGTAGTCTTTTTCTCCAGGGCCGGGCCCTCCTGAGTACATATGCCTGCAGTCTGAGAGACAGAGGCTCATCATTCTTGCTTTCCAGCTGCACTTCCTCCACGGCAGACTTGTGCTTCCTTCTGTCAGTCCGCTGGCAGATTCCAGCTAATGCAATCATCCAAAGGTATCAATTCCTCACCAGTCTACTTACCACTCTCCAGCCTTCACCGAGGTTGAAACCAGCGTGGCTGGCGTCAGGCTCACCCTTGGTCTTTAAAGTGACATCATTAACTTTTTAGCAAGTCAAAGAGACCTCTTGCAGCTTTGCCAGGAGCAGTCAGTCACGTGATTTTTCCACCGCTTCTGCTATGGGCAAGGAAAGTGACGTGGCTGACGACGTCAACCTTTTCTCCATCTACCACACTGCTACTCACTAAGTGTAAGGATTATGGGTTTATCTATGTTACCGGACATTCCATGATGAAGGCGGCAGTCACCGATCCTCACCAGTAAGGGCTTCATGTTCTCCTCACTTTCAGCAAGCATGCTGCGTCATCTGCACATCCCAAGTGGTTCATAAATCTTCCACTGATCCCGATGCCATGCTACGGTTTTTTTTTGGAGGGGGGAAATCATTTATTTGAAGTCAATTGCTGAGAATGGGAGAGGACGGGGCTGTAAAGTCAAAGATTGTGTCTAGGCCCTTTCTCTAGCTCCACCAGCACATTAATAAGAACACGAGTTCCATGAATTCTTTAACCTTTAAGGATTTAGTCTTTAGGCACAGAGATAACCACTGGACTGTGAACAACAAGGTTGGTAGTTCAAATCCACCAATTGTTCCATGGGAGAGATGAGGCTGCCAGTTCCTACATGAGTCAAAGTCAACTTGATGGCAGTGGGTTTGGCAGTAAGGAAGGTCAATGGTCACTCTAGCCTGCAGCTTACTTGGGAGCTCAAAGTCCTTACACAGTCAGCGGCACTGAAGTGAAGCCTGTATAAACCCTACAAAGTAGGTGACGGTCAACTTACTGCTTCGCCAGAAAGATGAACATCTAACAGGGCTTGATAAAAGAGGATGCGGCTAGGGTTAACATACACTATCCGTTCTACAAACACGAGGTCTCGGCCGCCGACCTCGGGGAGCAGAGCCAGTACACAGGGCAAGTTTGGTGGCAGTGTCCCCGGTAGGGTGGCTTCTCCAACCCCCAGAAGCCCATGCTGTAAAGTGTGTGGTGGCAAGAATTATCACACCCTCTCACAAGATCTGCAGGTATAAAAGCAGTTAAAAAAGTTCTTGGATATACAATCCCCATATACTTTGTATATGATCAAGGACCCAAGCCCCTTGAAAAAGCCTACAAAAATAATCTGTAGCCATTACTGTCCTGGGGTGCTAAAACACTAACCCTAACCAAACCAAACCGAACCGAAAACCCTAACTCGTGGCCACTGAGTAGATTCTAACTCATGGATCGGACACAGCAGAGCTAAATTTTAACGGAGCATAACTCTGAGACTGTAACTTTTCATGGGAGTAGAAAGCTTCGTCTTTCTTCTGGGGGCTGTGGTAGAGGTAGAGGTAGAGGTAGGTACGACTACCCCATGGTCCTTGGCTGCAAACATGCAGGTCGGGGCTCAGGGGTGTGTGTGTACACCAGCCCCCCCCACCCCCATGCCCCCGTCTCCCCATGCAGACCTGAAGTACTTACGGCAGACAGCGCATGCCATCCTGACAGGCTAATACAATGCTGTCATCACACCCTGGGCCTTCAGCCACATGCCGAGGAGAGGTTCTTGTTTAAGGAGGCTGTCAATCTACACAGGAGCAGATAGCCTCAACTTCCTCCTTCAGAGTGCTGGTGGCTTTGAACTGCTGACCCTATAGTTAGTAGCCTAATGCATATCCACCAAGCCACCAGGGTTGGGGATAGAGTGTAGGTTATTGGTGTTATGTTAAAGCTCATGCATCAATTCCAGAATCAGAATGAGGACAGACCTTTTTCAAATCTAAGGCCTGTTCTACTGCTGACCAGCTAGCTATGTCTCCCTTTTAAATTATCCCCACTGTCTTAGATGTACTGGGCCAATGGCCACCCACCACCGAAGACAGCAAACGTGGCTTCCATACCGAGAATCTGCTTTATCTGTTGAGCAAGGAAGGGCATTATCAGTGATGCTAAAACCACAATTAGTTCATTAGGTGGATAACGACCCATGGTGCAAATACCTAAATCAGTAACACAGCTATTTGACTCATTCACCTACTTAGGACAACATTTTGCAGTCAGCCTTTCCTATGGGGACTGAACAGAAGTTATTTACTGGTAGAATTATCTGAAAGGTTATATGGGCCCTGCAAACTTAGCAGGTAAGAATAATCTCTTTCAGTGTTTAAGGGCAGAGAGTTCTAGATCCCAACCGCAGCGCTGGGTTAGCGACTCAGCAGATTCAAAGCCCCTCTGCAGAGAAGTTACATCAGTAGCTGTGGCCAGGCCATCAAGGTCACTTCTGGGCTCTGCCTAACACACATGACCAACCTCCATGCGCCTCCTAAAATGCTCTGTGGGCTCCTGTCTGCTGCCAGCAGCATGAGGCTGTCTCTACCCTACATCAGGGCGGCCAAGTGTCTGCACACTACGATGTTCATCATGGAAACACTGTCCACGGTGGACACACAGAGGGCCCTCACCAAAAGATCAACGAAACACCCCAGACTCAAGAGCACTGTGATGCAGAACACGGCTTTTGCTGCAGAAAACAAGGACGCAAAGTGAGCAACCAGGCCCTGGTGTTTACCAGTAACTTTGTGGACACACCGTATTCTCCGAACTCACTTGTTCTCCTTACCTGGGCTTCATATCTGTGGGGATTTCTTTTTTAACATTTAAGAGCTTTTTGCTTTTTTGCTTCACTGCTTCATTTTCATGTTTTTCAGGCATGGCTTGTTTTCCCTTTTGTTTTTCTGTATCCTGTAAGAAATTTACACTTAATTGCTGAGAAGGATGAATACAAGGGACTGAAATTAGTCCGATTTGAAGGCACAGGCACAAAAGCACAGACAGAGAATATATATACACGCGTTGTATGTATAAATATAAGTACATATATATACACGCTGTATGTATACATATAAGAAGTACCTTTCTCCAAAGCTCTCTTTAATTATTATGGTCCTGTCAGTTTTCTAGCCTTTCTTGGCTATGATGACATTTGATTCTGTGTGGGTTATCAAGAATGCTGTCTGAAATCACACTTCTAACCCTATGCTACCGTGGTGGGTGGTGGATGGAGCAGCGGTGGCGGCAGCAGCAGCAGCAGCAAATGGGTAGCTAGCTGCTTAGAGTTAAGGGAGAAAACCTTGCATTTTTTTAAATACAGAAAACATTTAACAAAGAGGACAATACAGAATTAAATGCTATGACCAAGGTGCCTAATCCTGAACAGGAGCAATCGGAGGCAGCAGGCACTGAAAACAAATCAAGCCAGACTCATTGCCCTTGAGTGGACACCGACTGGTGGTGACTCTACACTGCATGGCAGGGCTGCCGCTGGGCGTTTCCGAGACGAACTCTCTTCGTGGGAGTAGAAAGCCCATCTGTGCAAACTGGGACCTGCCCCTGCGGCTGTCAGTAATAAAGCAACTGTCTACAGTGTTGCAGTCCGTTTAGTATTAATGTTCACCACCAGCACAGTGGGGCTTGTATTTTCACTTATTCAACAAACACCTATTGGCCACCTACTTGATAACAGGCATTGGGGTTACCACATGGGCCCAGGCCTCCTAAGTCTCAGATCACACACACAGGACAGAGATCGACAGGAATGCTTGATGTAAAATGTTCCCTGGCCACGAACGGAGCACAGTATCTGGCTGGCGTGTGGTCTGGGAAGACCACGCCTGAGTTCCATCTCAAAGCGGGCTTGTGGCCTGCTGTTCTGGTCCTTGGCAGATCAACACATAAACTGCATTTGCACCTTCTGATCGTAACCTGAGCTTGTTGTGGCACCTGAGCATGAGCCCGGTGCGCTGGTCTCTCCAACGGGCGCTGACTCGTGAGCATGGGGAACGCGTGTATGACAGTGGCAATGAAAGCGAGGAAAACCACCCTGGCCCTTCACACAGATAGGAGTGAGCAGCACGGGACTCACAGGGCTGAGCAGAGAGAACACACACTCAGCCAACAGCTGTGGGTGCTGGGGGAGTTAAACTCGGCTGGGAGCCCTGGTGGGATAATGGTTACGTCTGTGTGGCAATCTGCAATGGTCACAGTTTGAAACTAGCAGCCACTCTGCAGGAGAAAGGCAGGGCTTTTTACTCCCATAACCAGGTACAGTTGCGGAAACTCACGCGGCAGTTCCACCCTCTCCTATAGGGTTGCTGTGGTCGGCACTGACTCGATGGCACGGAGTTTGGTGTTTTGGTTTTGTGGGGAGTTGCAAGCATGGGACAACAGGTCTATCAAACAGCTGTCCAGTTGCACCGTTTCTGGCTCTGAGGGCATCCTGGCTTTCAACATGTCATCATTACCTTACAGACGACACGCCAGGTCAGTCACTCTGAGGTACGGTCCCGAGTGCATGACCAGAGATCAGGCAGCGCAGTAGTTGCTGACTGTGTGGAATAGAAAGTCCTTTGAGGACTGTAAGCGGCTTGAGGCAGAAGGCCTGGCTTTTGCTGTTGTCGTTCACTGCTGTTCCCAAGCCCCCAGCACGAGGCCAGGCACCCCGGCACTTCAGAAACACCTGCTGTTTCTTTGAAGGGGTAGGGTGGGGCTGGAGAAGACACAATCTAGTTGGGAAGATAGTATTTCATACACATAACCAGTCAGGAGGAAATGCAAGCACAAAGCTACTGTATGTCGAGGCGGCCGCTGCATGAATCACGGGGAGAGGGGTACTCCGCAGGGGTGTCAAGGAGGAGGCGAACTGTGGAATTGTGTGTCTGTAAAGACGCACATGCCATGGAAGATGAAGTAGAGGTGCACAAGAGGAGGAGGTGCACGAGAGCTGCCGAGCTAGGCCAGTGGGTGCAGAGGAGGCTGGCGGGTGGCCTTGGCTGGAGAGCAGGGGCCACCGATGAGCGCTAAGAGGCAAGAAAGGCAGAAAAGCAAGCGAGGGAAAGCCGTGAAGAGAGCCTGTGTCAGACACCTCACACGCACACGCTGCTGTGACTGCCGAGCCCACACTTGTGTTAGCAGGTGGCAACTGGCTTTTCTGAACCTACTGAAAAAGCTGTCTGTTAAGCACAGCTCTCCAAGCCTGGCCACCTACTGTTCGAAGGGCACACAGCGCCTCACGGCACATGTGAGGGCCTGCACAGGGAGAGGCAGCTGGCAGGGAAAGGAAGATAGATGCAAATTTTATCTTAGAAATGAATGTCTGCAGCTGACACTCGGTATCCTTAAGGAGAGAATCCCTTAGGCCACTGGACTAAAATTGAAAAAAACAAAACAAAAAACCCCCAAAACAAACGGGTCAACATGGGTGGCTGGGTGCCAACATGAAGGGCTACCTGAGGATTGTTTATGCTTGAAATATCCTTATCTAGAAATAAAAATGTCAAAGTAGAATCACAGCCTCCATTGCCTGCATATCACTTATGCCTGACACCCTATGCCAGATTGCCAGTCCGCCCAACCCTCTATTGACTTACTGCCTAAAGCGATTTCTGATGCTAACGACCACCCCTGATGTCAAATTTACTTCAGAAAGCAATGCCTGCAGCTGGCATTGCTGGCAACCTTCCGTCTCTAAGCTGAACTGAAAAACGGGGCAAAATGAAGATCTGAGGGGGGCGGGGCGGGGCAGGGTTCCCAGGTCCCAGTGACCACTGAAGCCTGGACTCTTCTCTGCCACCACCCACGGGCCTGCCCCCAACAAGTGCTGACAGTGCCACGCGATGGACCAGGCTCAGCACCATTGAAACGGTACGTAATCCCCTGAGATGTAGATTTTGAAGTAAGTCTCACGAGGTAAGAGTGTAGTTACTGTTTCAGACAGTCCCTAGCTTCCAAGCAGTGTGTCCACCTTCTAGCTCTTTCGCTTTAGGAGTAATGCTTCCAAAGCGTGCTTCCTGGAGGGAATCCAGGACTGCACCCACGAGCTCTGGCTCCCGCAGGACAGCGATGGAGCTGGGTGCGAGCAGGGCCGGTGCATATGTAAGTAGCCCATGGGAGTGGTTAGCACTGCCTGAGGCAGCAGTGCGTCTCGTGCACGGGGAGACACCCCCCCCCCACTCCCTGGAGCCCTGGTGGCACACCTCTCTGAGCAGTGGGTCTGTGTCTGAGGTCTCGCACAGGGAGACACCCGCCCCCCTCCCTGGAGCCCTGGTGGCACACCTCTCTGAGCAGTGGGTCTGTGTCTGGGGTGGAGGTCTCGGTGGTGGTGGAGGAGCTGTCGTCATCGGCCAGGCAGTCTTTCAGCTCGTCCTCCTGTGGCTTCCCCTTCCCTTTCTTCTCCTTTTCTTCTTGCTTCTTGGGGGTTTTCACCTTGCGTTGAAGAGGCTTTCCTTTCCCTAAGAACGAAAATCGACGTAAAATAACTCTTGTAAGAAAAGGCTTCGGAGAGGCTCAGACTCTCTTTTGATTAGTAAACATTTCTTTTCTAGACTTTCTTATCCAAAGACCGCTTATGGAGTCAGGTTTTGACTTTTTGATCAGAATATTTTCAAAACCCGACATCATTTGCAGACAAAATGCATCCAATCTGTGTGCAGCTCAGTGAGTTTTGACACGCCTCTGGCTCCAGAACATTCTAATACGCCTCAGAGGGTGTCATGGAAACTAGACATGAAAGCTAGCCACACCCAAATCAAACCTCCTGTCACCGAGGCAGCTCTGACTCAGTGTGACCCTACAGGGCAGAGCAGAGCTGCTCCTGTGGGTCTCCAAGACTCTACAGCAGTGGTTCTCCACCTTCCTAATGCCAGGACCCTTTCAGACAGTTCCTCATGGTGGTGACCCCCCACCATAACATGATTTTCATTGCTACTTCATCACTGTAATTTTGCTACTGTGATGAATCGGGCGACCCCTGTGAAAGGGTTGTTCGACCCCCAGCTTGAGAACTGCTGCTCTAAATCTTTTCGGGAGCAGAACGCCTCATTTTCCTCCCTCGGAACACATGGGCTTCTGGTGAGGGGGTTCTCAGCCTGCTGTACTTTAGAACAACCTTGGGGGTGAAGTCCGTTCACTACAGCTGTCTGGATCTCACCCAGAGAGCGTCCGATTCAACAGTACTGGCTGGGAACTGGACCTGGGTGGACCTCTAAGAGCTGCTTGAGATAGTTTAGTTAACCAGGCCTGAGGATCACTAGTCTGCAGAACTGCCAGTCCACTTTCTCTCTGTTCAGGATGCACCAGTCCATGTCCTCTATTTCACTGAGTCCCCCATCTCCACTCAGCAGCCGAACCCTTTGGTGAGCTCTGCATTGAGTTTATTCTACCTAAAACGAGACCGCCGCCGCCACCACCACCAAAACACCCAGGGCCGGCGAACTGATTCAGACCATGGTGACCTGTCATCTCGTTCTAAAATTTTCATTTCATTCTTTATAGCTTCCATTTCTTTGCTCAAACACTCGGTCGTTTTGTGCGTGTGCAAGATCGCTCCCTGAGAAGTCCTGTGACCCCAGTCCCTCACCTGTGCTGGACTCATGGGCGGTGGTTGATCGCCAAGGGCAGGAAGGCTGCTGGCTACTGCTGAACGGGGCTCCTCCGCTGACACCATCTCTAAGCTAAGAACTGGCTTTCTCAGACTAACAGGGTGTGAGGGGATCGAGATGCTGACAAATGTCCACACCTGACGACTGGCCAATGCGTGCCCTGTTGTACTCAGAGAACAGAAGGAACGGTTTATAGCACTAGGCAATGATCTCGGGCCACGCTCTCCCATCGCCAACAGACAAATCACACAAGCAGGAGCCCTGCTGGTTCAATGGTTAAGTAGGGGCTACAAACTTAAGGATCACTGGTTTGAATCTACCAGCAGTTCTGTAGGAGAAAAGATTGCTGCTCAACTTCCAATCTGTTCCCATAAAGCCTAGGAAACCCCAGGGGGCAGCTGTATCTGTCATATGGGGTCTTCATGACTTGAAACTGAGTCAGTGGCACCTAATTACAAGAAATTAATCATTTCCCACCTTTTATAACATCGACAGAAAGTCAGGCTTCTACTCCGGAAAGAATGTCTTAGAAACTCACAGGGGTAGGTCTACCCTCCATTCTACACTGTCCTACTGCAGTGGTGAGTGGTCGTCGTCGGAGTGGGGACCCTGAGGAACCATTCTACACTGTCCTACTGCAGTGCTGTGAGTGGTCATCGGAGTGGGTGGGTAGGTGGCGCAGGTCTAGGATAACTGCTTTGGTGGTCTCTCCTTCATTTTGAATCATTTAATTTCTACCTGACCCAATCATTTCAGGAAACTTTCAATCACTAGCATAATGGTTTCTCAGAACAGGTATCATCCCTGGCGGCAGCTGATGACCTTAATCTGGCCACACAGTGCCACTTCAACACTAGACAGACCTGTGGACACATGCAGCTCTGAGGACGACACAGGCATCCATCCAAGCGGTCACCACCACCACAGATCCAGGGCACAGGCCCCCCCCCCCTTTTCTCCCACTATTTCCTCTTCCTGGGTGGCGTCTTTAGCCCCAGCCCCCTGTGGATATGCATTCCTCTGCAGTGGGTGGGGCATGCACTCATGCCAACACAGCCCCAGATCTGGGCACAGCCACCCAAAGGCTGTTGACCTTTTTTTGAAACCAGGATTCGTTTTTCTCTTCCCCTTCTTCTTCCACGGCGAGTATGCGCCTGAAGACAGACCACCACATTCATGCTGCCATAGCAAGCTGCAGCCACACCCAGGCCACACCCTCACCTTCCCTTCCCAGCCTCTACACGTTGTCTTTTCATGCTCCCCCATCTCTGCCCTTCTTTCTCGCTTTCCTTTTCTCGTAAGTATACTTCTTCTAAACTAGCATATGTGAACTCCTTTTCTGCAGGTCTGATGATCTGCTCCCACTTTCTCCTGCCCCACCCACTGTTTCCTTTCCACCCCCCGGCCTTTTCCTCCGGGAATAGGTTCCCACTACACTTCAGCATCCCATGTCTAAGGCTGCACATAAGAACCTGGTATGGCCCAGGCTACACTACTCTCCCTCCCCTGTCAAAAAAGCTCTCACATCTCATTTTCAGATGACAGTATCCCATCTCTTCCTCTTACCAGACTTACTTCTTGGAGTTGTTGAGATTACGCATTATTAACTTGCCCACCTCTCTCTGTCTATGAGGTTCCCTCTGGCTTAAAGACTTCCCAATCCTGGGAATTCTACACAATCTTGCTCAGCTGACGCCCTCCTGACGTTCTCACCCCGTCTTTTGTGCTGCCTCTGTCCCGCAGAACTCTATCAACGCCTTAGTCCAACTATCCAGTCTCTGGGAATGACTCACCGAATGCAAGTCTCAGTTCCCACAGGATATCAGTCTTTAGAATTTAACGCTATTTGAAAGTGACTATTCCAAGCGCTCTCCAATTTTTATGTCTACCCTGCTGCTTCCCCATCCGGTCTCAGCAGATGGTTCTCATTTTAGTTCAAGCAAAAGCTCCTCTAGCCTCCCCTGTGGTGGGCACCTCTTCAGTCGTACAAATCTTCCTGAGGACCGAGGGTCCCTCCTTTCACGCAATCCCACTCCAGCCCCTCGGGTACTGCTTTCCCACGTGCCTCTGTGCTTGCTGGCTTTGGAGAAAGGAACACATCAAAGGCTGAGGGGTGAAGAGTCAAACTGAGCTGAGTGTGGCTCCATAGCCTTTCTTAGATGGAGTTCCTGCCAGGACATCAAGGTCCCCCAATGTCCCTCACCAAGTGTAGGAGAGCGGCATAGCTGGGTGAGGACATGCTGCCTAGCACACTGTCCTCAGCTCGACTGGCCTTTTGTCCTTGGACCGGAGATATGTTCAAGCACCATGCTGGTTTGTTATTTTAAAATGATAAAAGCCCGAATGCCCCATTGCACGCCTTCTTCCCACCCCTCCACACAGACACCACAGCAGCAGCCACTGTTAAGAGTGGGGTGTGAGGGCCTCGCCATGGCAGCTTGGTTCTCAGTCCTGTAGTTTCACAGAAAGTGTCTGCTTCAAGGTCATAAAGACCGTCCTAACTGCCTGTGTCTGTGCAGCACCGTCTGACCATGCTGGGCTATGCAAATCACACCTTCTGCCTGCTTTCTGCTGCGTTGTCTGCTGAGCTTCCCATCAGCCTTGCCCTTGGGACCCTGCCTTTCTTTAGCCCATTGCCCGTCCCAATTCTTACCCTCAAGCAAGAGCCGAGCAGTCACCTGAACTGGGATGTCCCCCGGTCATAGTCAGACTCAAGGCAGTTCCCGCCATGCCCAGAGTCCCAATTCCTAACTACAGTCACCCTCTGAGAAGAGCATCAGCAATAATTTTCAGGGCAAGCAGTTGGAGGCTAAGAGGCAAATGCCTCCAAAGTTAAGTTAATGAGTGGACCAGCCAGGATTCAATCAGGGGCTCCTGACAGGAGAGCCTGGCTTCTGCCCTCAACACCACCCTGCCTCCCTACTAGAGACAGGGTAGCCATGACACTGCCTCTGTCGGGAATGGGATAGAGTCACTGAGGACTGGCTGCTTGGCTCAGGGTCCTGTGCAGCCCTGAGATCAATGTCTACTTTTAATGTTCATTGGAAAGACTGTGTTTCTATCTGTCACGTTATACTTCCTCAAAGACATTTACTGAAGAACAAAAAACCCATACAGATCCTGGCTCCTTCCTTCTTTCCAAAATAGCCGTGGTGGGAAAGCTAAGTGGAGTGGCTGAACAGGTGAGGATTGTGGCCCTTGGGGTCCCTCGTGGGCTCCAGAATCACAAATACGGTGACTCCCAAGCTCATCAATATCTCTGGGCAACTCTAGGGCCACAGTAAAAATTTACAAAGCCACAAAAACACTTTTACTTTAAAACTTAATTTCTAGATAAATGACTCTAAAAACAAAAGCGGGCCTACCAAACTGACATTAGAGGACTATCATACGCTCATGTAACTTTACTGCCAAATTCCTTCTTCGTGGTAAGGATGAAAGAGAACAGAACAAAACCCCAAGCTCTCTCCCATGAAGTCACTTCTGACTGACGGCAACTCGACAGCACAGAGAACTGGCCCTGTGGTTTCTGAGGCGGTGTGTCTTTAGGGAATGGACAGCCTCATCTTTGTGTATGTGTGGCATGCCAGCGTCTAACATGGCCCCCACGGTCCCCACCTCCTGGTATCCATGCCCCTGTGGGTGGCATTCTCTCCGAGTGTGGGCCAAAACACACTTGTACCGATGAAGGGAATCTCGTAAAAGTGACAGGCCGCCACTTCCATGATTAGGATATTCAAGAATGTGACTCCTGTCCTGTTGCCACGTTTTCCCTCTCCCTGTCTCTGTCCTATTTGTTCTGATGAGCCAGTCATCACACTGCGCCCTAAGGATAGCCCGCAAGTTCAATGACAGCCGAGGAAGAACTGAATCCGGCACATGAAGGGAGTCTGGAGGTGGGCCCGCCTGCAGTCGCGTCATAAGGGGGTCAACACCTCGACTGCAGTTTTCCTGGGGGGAGCCAGACAACCCTGCTCAGTGGCACCTCGATCCCTGGCCACAGGAACTGAGGGCTGACGTGCTATTATTCTCAGTTACAAGGTCATGGAGCAATGTGTTACGCAGATAATAGAGTCTACAGCGCTCCAAGGGCCACACGGTCAAGCTTTCTCAGCTCTGAGAGCCACACACTGCTGTAACCACTCAGCTCTGCCAGTGCTTCGTGAAAGCAAGCAGAGGAACGGTCTGGCTGAGTTTCAGCAAGACTTCATTTACAAATAGCTCCGCTTTGGTTTACTGGCTATAGTTTTCCAACCTCTCCTCTAAAGCAAAGGTTGATTTTTGAATGAAAAGGCAAATAATATCCATTTTACCACCGGTTCACCATTATTTAGCAACCATAACCACAAGGAGTTGAAAGGAAAATAGATTTCCAACCAATTGCTGAATCTGGTGAGCAATCTAGGAAAGAGGCCACCATTTATGACAAGCAGGTATTGATAGTTGCATTTTGAGAGAGATGTTGAAGCCCAATATTGGAGATAAATTTGAGCCAGCAGAGGAGCTAATCAATCAACCGCTTCCCGCACACCTACAATCACAGCAGCACGCGTTGGCTGGGGTTTTCTCCCATGTCTCGTTTGGCCGGCAGGATGAGCAGAGGATTACCTTTGTTTTTTGACAATGGCGACGGAGGCTGCTCTGTAAACACTTCCAGGGGCGGGGAGTCGTGGTGGTCGAAGTCTTTGTCCATGGCTTCTATGAGACTGGTGATGTCCGAGTCCTCTGAGCTGTGCCTTGTGCTGCTGACACGTTCTGGGTGGGCCGGGTGTGCGAGGGGGGCAGGGGACAGCCTCTCGGGCTGCGGCTCCGGATGGTGAGGCACTGGCGGTGGTGGGGGTGGGGAGTGCTGCTCTAGCGTGCTGTGGACATGGTGCTGGCTGCTCTGCTGGTTCTGTTTGGCCCCTCTGGACTTTCTGCCTGCTGTATGGCCCTGGGTCGCAGAGTTTGAATCTAAGACCAGGGGGCTTGTCTTGCTAGCTGCCTGGGAGGAAGCTGCTTGTGCAGAAGTCCTGCTAGAGATACTTGCACTGTTTTTGGATCTGACGCTTTCTACGTCAGCCGAGTTTCTATTGCTGTGGTTGCTGTGTGGATGGACTGACGTGCCGCACTGCTTGTGACCCCCTGTACCGGGTCTGGATGCCGGGCCGCCTGCTCCACAGAAGCCGCGGCCATGACTGGGGTCACAGCCGAGTGTGTTCAAGCTGGAAAAAAGCGCAACTGCAGATTAGTACAAAGCAACCTACCAAGTCCAACACGCACTGCCCCGAGAAGAAAGGATGGCTTTGGTAATCCCCAGTCGGCTCGACTTGAAGACCCCTGCGTGGCAGCAGCCACGGAACCAAGCCTATGCTCGCTCTCACCCAAGCTGCAAGCACTGCTCTGAGCCGAGAGCTCGGGGAACAGGGGACACCGGGGTATGGGGAAGAGGTGAGAGAATTCGAGGTGTTTGTTTTCCTCCCCGTGGCAAAGGTGTAAAGAGTAACCCTGTTATTACATTAGCCAAATCTGTGCCTCCTAGAGAATCTATTTCAAGCATGTGAACATACTTTCCTTCGGATGAAATGCCAACAATTCTCCTGAGGTCAAATGGCCTGCCCACATCAAAGGGCGGGTTGGAGGTCTCAAAGGACAGTCGCCTCCGAAACGGCTCCCAGATCCCTTGAGCTTCCAAGTAGGCTGTTCCAATGACCAACAGGAAGAGGGCACTGCAGGGATACAGGTGTTGGAGAATTAAGTCTCATTTGTTAGTGCAAGAGTTACAAAACTGGAAACATTTCAAAAGTCAACACCGGAGAGCACCTTGGTAAAGTACCATGTGACACAGTAAAACAAAACGAGAAGCTTGTGACGATTTTCATGGATGAAAGTCTGCACAATAAATAAATAAAACAAGGCCACCTTCCACGGAGGCTTCTGGAGCACAGATCATTACTGGTGTCAGAGGAGAGCCCTAGACGGTGATCTTTCTCTTCTCTGTCTGTTAGCTTCGACTCTCTAAGGCCAACTCTCTTCCCTTTAAGGTGGGAAGGAACTATGTAAATTACAGGTGAGCATCTCTGCCTCAAAGTACACAAAGAAATATACTGGGGGAAAGAAAAAGGACAAAGATGCTGATGAAGAAAACAAACCTCACCAGCTTCACATTCCTTAGGCATGCTTCAAGAGGAAGATACAATTATGTGGAGTAAATTTTATACTACACCCAAGTCAAGTAACTTCACCTGGTAGTTAGTTATTAAAAAACTTCACACAGTTTTCCTGAAATGAACGAACGTGCCTTAAACACATTATTGGCCTAACAAATCTCGGTGGCCAGACTTTCGTTGTAGACACTACGGAAGCACAGTCTGCTCCAACATGGAAGCCGGATGAAGGCCCTGCACTGTTTTGCTCATTCGTGTCCCTGCAGCACTTGGATGAATGACGGGCCCACCGTGACAAATGACTATCAGCCCCATAAAAAGGCACAAGTACCTCATTATTCCTGAGATGATGATGTACAGAGCCAGTTCCCAGTTGGGTCTCGGTAGGGCTTCTGCACAGGTGGCTAACATATGGTACGGAAGGGATGCGTTCAAAATAAAGATAAACTCAGAGCCGCTTGTCGTTATAAACTTCAGTTCTCGAATAACTCTAGAAGCTGTGAAATCAGGAGTAAACCTAATACAAATGATGGTAGAAAGACAAAGTATTAATACTAGTCCTACGAACTTTTGGAACATAACACAGAATTTTAGTTAAGTCCCTCGTAAAATCACTAAGAGGAACAACTATAGTCCGTGAATAATTGGAGAAATTACATAAAAGAACACAAATACACTTTGCAAACTATTATTAATTCAGCGCTGCGTTGCCTTCCTTCTCCCTTTGTCTGAATGCACACTCTTCTCCCCGACCACCTGCCAGGCCGCACTGCTTTCCTTAGACCGCCCCAGCCCTAGGGGTCTTACTGACACAATTCCTTATTTTCTGCAGCACTGCTTATTGACACAATTCGTTATTTTCACTTTATGGCAACTGAATGCTCCCAATTGGATCTTTTACTGCTTGAGGAAATAGGCCTTCTCTCTCACTGCACCAGTAAGTGGCAAACTTCACCAGTGATAAGGAAGCTACTCATTCAGTAAATATCCATGGAAGATCATGCAATCAGTACTCAATTAAGGGGTAGGGATTATATTTACTACATAAGCCTTACAGCATAACCAATTATCAATTAATTGTGAAGTAGGCTCCAGGTATTACTAATATAGGCATTCCGTCCTCTCACCCAAATATTCTGTTATTATAACATGAAACAGGGTACATGCATGATACAAGTCTCTGGTATGTTGTGAAGCACTGTTTGAGTTTATAGTCAATTCCCTTACCAACATTTTATGCTTCAATGTAAGTCTGGAAATAATTCTGAAACTGGCCCCGAAAATGATCTGATGCACTTGGGAGACAAAGGCAGCTCACACCTGATATTTCTTGATATACGAAGGCATAGCTTAACCAGAGATGAGTAAACAGTAGTCAAATTGAATAGATTCTGTCTGTCTTTTTTTAAAAGACATTTTGGTTTTTCAAATATGAAAATTTACCTTTATATGGAGCTTGAGCAACTCCTATAAAAAAATTAGTGAGAAGCTAGTGACTCATCATGTCTCACAGGAAAATACTTACAATATAATGATGTCCTTAGAAGCATTGGCACTTAGTGCAAACTCTTGACAATTAACAACTTTAAAGCCGTATCCTTCACAGGGGTAGCCACTGATTTCTATGGCTTCTATGTGAATTTGAAGCTGTCCTGTGTTCTCAACTTTAAATGTTCTTTTCAATGTGAAATTTGGTTCTCTTAGTTTCAAAGCTAAAGGGAAAAAAAGAGGACTCAGTATAAATCATGCCACCATGTGATCCTAAGCCAAATGCTCAGTGCATGACTTATGAACACCCAGGTGCCAGAGACCACAGCCACCCCACAGCCCAGAGATCGGCATTGCCCAGATCTCATCAGGAAATCCCATTTGTAAGGAAATGTCTTTTTAGCCAGAAAAAGTGAAATGAAGCTTTAGGTTTCCTACCTAGAGTAAACCAGCTAAGGTACACATGGAACAGTGACACTGCAAATCTTTTTAAAGAGGCAAATCAAGCCATCTGACTAGGTCTGAAAACGAGACAGGGAGTTCCCTTAAAATCTTAAGCATTCAAATCAATAAATAGGTCAAGAAGGGGAACAATATTACTAGAGAGGTATACATACCTTAGAATCATCAACCATTTGAGATCACAAGGGCAGAATGTACCCAAGGTCAAGGTTCAGACAGCTTAGGAAAGTGGGAGGAATGGCAACATGACAGAGGGAGGAGACAGGCTAAGGGACATTACACTGTGGGGACTGCTATCAGTGACATCAAAGTACGTATGAACTGGTGAGTGGAAAATTGATGTGCTTTGTAAGCCTCCAATAATTTGCATTAAAAAATTAAAAAGTAACTTAGGCATTCATTCATCACATCACATGTGCATGAGAGAAAATTAGATTGTTTTCAGAATCATTCAGCACAGTGATAAGATTTGTGCTCTTAGAACTAACTGTTGGCAATACTCACTCTCTGTACAATCTTTTAACAGTGCTTCTGTGATTTTAAAGCGTAAGGAGCTCCCAGGGCCTGGCAGCTTGCCGGCCACTCGCAAGTTCTCAGTGGTCCCGTGCCCTTGTACCATCACAGCGTCCATCACAGTCAGGTTGTTTCTAGGCAGGGAGAAAAATGACAGAGTTTCCTCCTGCTGAATATGTACTGCCTTTTGATGCATCATTTCTCCTGTAATTTTATATGCCGTCCATTAAATGTGAGGTTATGTGCACTGGACAAGTACATACCTTGTTTTACAAATAAGATCCTCCGCACACTCAATCGTCTTGAACAAATCGAGATTGCTCGGTAATCACCACACGTGAGTTCATACCTACCTGACTATGATCAGTGAAGAAACAGTTCTGTTGTGAACCGGAGTAAACTTCACTTTGACAGATTTCTTTTCCCCGGGTTTTAAAATGAGGTTTAAAATTAAATGTCGAGAGAGGCCCTCTGTAAATCCTGCTGAACTCTGCAGTGGAAGAGCCTTAAATCATTGGGCAAATAAATTGGAGTCATTAATAACATTCTCTGAAAAACTGTTTCTCTTTACCCCCACCTACAGTATAAAATAGTTTCCCAAATTGATTAATATGTAGGCAATTTTTATTCCTTCTGATGTGGACACTGGCTAGCTGGAGAGCCGAGCTGGGTCACCAGGGGCGATTCTCTATGTGCTGCATTCAAACCAAGCCTGGTCTGTTCCAGCACCAAGTCCACATGGCGTCTGCTTGGGTTTGTCAAACACACTGCTAACCGAGCCTGTCAGACAGGGGAGAACGGTACCAGGCTGGAATTCTTAAACGTGAGTAGAAAGCCTTGGTTTCGAACTGCTGAACTTGCAGCTAGCAGCGCAATGAGGAACCGCTATGCCACCACGGCTCCTCCTTGCTTTGGTGTAGAGGCTTTTATTTTTTACCTTTCACATCCTGAAATAGAGTGCACACAGAGAAGTTTGGGCACAAAGTAAACATGTGGGTGAACTCCTACTTCCGGCACGCATCTTGACACTGCTTCCCACCCCTCTCACCCCTGAAGGTCACCAAGGTCTCGGGCTTTCCTGACCATTGGAATAACTACACAAGCCACAGCCCTGAGTCGTCCTCTGGGACCCCGAGCCTTGAAAAGAAAACTGGTTTCTACACGTCACTGTTGGCTCAGAGCCTGGTCTGGTAAGCTAGTCAAGTCTGCTGCGTTGGCCCTGGTGTTGGAGGAGAAAGCACAAATGGGAGAGGGTTCTAGATGTTTATCTTGGCCTTTGACTTCTGGATGGTCACTCGGGTTGATGTTCCCTGTCAATAAAAGTTAGAGGCTTTCTTTTATTTTTATAAAGGGTTCTTGGTTTTTACTACTAGGATCTTCAGCCAGTATTGACGAGATGGCAGGGAGCTGAGTGAGTACTGTACAAGCGCCTCCTGTGTGTGACAGGACAGGACGGGGCAGGGGTAGCCTTTGTGGAGGGATTACTGCTAGTAATTGGGGTCCTCAACCTCGTACTCTGTGGTTGCTTGGACCGTAGGACCATCTTGGAGGCAACCTGTGCATGCAACACAAACTCTTTTCATAATCATCAAGAGACGCTATTTGACTTTTCACTGTGCTGATACCTGCACTAATGGTCAGCAAAAGCAATGGCAGGCAAAACGGCCGACTCCTTCCACAGGCAGTGCATGAAGTGCTCCTCGTAACCAGTGCACTCTTCGCTGCCACGCACAAACAAGCTTGTGAGTAACAGGAGTAAACCCCCAGCCTTGAGCACACGTCTGCCTAACGTTCTGGGTGACAGAATGCTAACGATGCCTAGAGCTCTCCCGAGGCCCACGGAAGGGCTGGGCCGGCCTTGAGAAGTCACGCTGCCCTCCGTGTCTTTCAGGGACACGTTCATATTCCAAAGGATGCTGACAGCCCACCTGTGACCATTCAGAGCTGGGCATCGGGCAGACATTTTCACAAGCATAAAGTGAGTCTATCTCTTTAAGGAAAATAATGGAGGCACTTGGTGACAACGATAAAATTAGAGCAAAACATTTTGAAAACCAGAGTCACTGCTGTGAGCTTGACAATATTTTGATGAGCTTGATGGCTATAAAAATGAGTAGGACTTAACATTGCGCAGTGAACGGTGTCAACATTCAGGAGGTCTACGGATCTAGGTGAAGCAGTATTTTCTAAATGACTGCTGCATGGTGCTACAAAATTTTGCAGGGTGCAAGAGAGGTACCGTATATCCTCGTGTATAAGCTGAGTTTTCCAGCACATTTTTAATGCAGTTTTGGTGGTAAAATTAGGTGCCTTGGCTGATATTCGGGTTGGCTTATACTCGAGTAGATACGGTAAATAAACTCTAAAGTAATAACGTTGTCAAAATTCATTGTGAGTGATTTCAGATTCCACAGTGTGGCTAACTTAACAAACTGCCAAAGTAGAACACTCATAATTAACTGAAAGCTAATTAAGACACTCTTTGGTTTTCCAAATACACGTCTGTGTCAGGTCAGATTTTCTTAACACAAACAACCTGGAAACTAAACCTGCTGCCACTGAGTCAATTCTCACTGGACAGAGCGGCACCGCCCGATGGGGTGTCCAAAGCTCTGCCCTTTATAGAGCAGACCGCGACATCGCTCTCCTGCTGTGGGACTGGCGGGTTCCAGGGACTGACCTTTCAGTTAATAGTGCAGCAGGCCCCGTTAGTTCTTTTTGAATGCACTTCAAACGAAACAACCCATCATGATTGAGGGAACGCAAAGCAAAGAGGAAAATTCCACTCTGTGAGGTCAGAGAAGCCCAGGTGGCACAGTGGGTTGTTCACTGGGCTGCCAATGGAAAGGTCAACAGTTTGGAATCACCAGCCACACTGTGGGAGAAAGAGGAGGCTTTCTACTCCCGTAAGGGGTCACGGTCTCAGACACCCACAGGGGCCGTGCTGCCCCGTCAGTCGCTGAGTCGGAATTGACTCTGTGGCGTGAGTTTGACTTGTTTTTCCGGTACTAATGTGAGAGTCACCCAAAAGGTTTGCAAAAATGTAATAGGACACTCTTGTTAAAATTCTTTTTTTTGTTCAGTAGCCTTTTCTCATTAAAGTGTTATCTATGCTAACTGGAAGGGGCTTATCATTTTAATTGAAGTAATACAAGTACCAAGATCTCACTTTTAATTTTTAATATGGTAAATACTGACAGAAAGAACCTACATAAGCAAAAACAAAAACACAAAAACTCTTGAGGTCCATAATAAATTTTAAGATATGAGTCCTGAGAACAAGTATTTTGAGGATAAATTTCATAACATTACAGAGAACTGGGATAGAATTTATCCTCAGCTGCAGAATTTCTTATTTAGAATAAATTTGAGGCGAAGAGTATTCTTGCTCATCTCCATATCTTACAGAGCCTATCTAGGAAAGTACTTGTATTCCATAGAATAAAAGGCAAATATTCAATTTTGCTTATGCATACATATATAGTTATGAAGGTCCAACTTACAGACTACCCATGAAGCTCCAAACTAAGTTCCCTGCCTTCGAGGGAATGCCGTCATCGCGAGGCTGGAGGACAGGGCAGAACTGCCTCTATGAGTTTCTGAGCCGGTGACTCATTAGGCTTCCTGCTCTCTCTCTGCAATGCTCGTACTTCCCAGTGTCTGTTAGCAGTTGAAGAGGTCTCGCCCAAGCGACATTTTCAAAGAGGACTGCCTTGCTTTTTTTGTCCTTCTTCATACTATTTGAAATTAGCTTGGTAACTCACTGGCTCACTTTTGTGTTGTATCCCTGCCCAATTACAGGATTCAGACTGGCAGAGCAGGGGTGCTTGCTTACTCACTCACTCACTCGCTGCTCTATCCTCTGTGCCTACAACTGTGACCAACATATTCAACAATCTGAAACACAGATTATAGCAATCTGGCCTAGAGCCACCTTTCTTCACGTACTATATATCACAGATTATTGGAAGAAAAAATACACTTACAATTATTTTCTTAGACAAAACTGACCTAAAGACAGACTTATAAAAATACAAAGCTAAGGAAAAGAATACAACTATTTCGAGAAGCATAAAACAACTGATTCCACAAGGCTGGTTCCACAATTCCTAGTCAGCAGCACAGGAGCCCTGGTGGTTCAAGGGTGAAGAGCTGGGCTGCCCCCAGCAGTGGGGCACCCCGGACCCATCCAGCAGCTCTGTGGGAGAAAAGCCCGGGAACCTGCTCCGCTTAGAGCTTAGACGATGGCTTAGAAAGGCAGTTATACTGCTACATTGGGTCACTGTGAGTCAAAATACTGACTCACTGGCACCTAGCAATGATATCAACAAGTAGTGACAAGGAGGCCCTGGGTCGCACAAGTGGCTAAGTCTTCAACAACCAGCCAAAGGGTTGGTGGTTCGAACCTATGCAGAGGAGCCTGGTGATGTGTGTGTGAAAGGTCACAGCCTCAAAATCCCTAAGGAGAGGGAGCCATGAGTTGGGATCCAACAACCACAAGCAGCAGCAACTATGTAGTACAAACGGGAAGAACGAGGGCTGCGGAATGCGAGAGAACGAGACTTGAATTCCAGCCTGGCCGTCTATCACAGCTTTGACCATAGGCAAATTCCTTCCTGCTTCAGGCTGGTTATTTTCCCATCTATAAAACAAGGAGAGGTGCTTCTCTTGGGGCGGTTAGGGATTGCTCAAATACTGGAAAGGTTCTGCAGTACCGTCAGTAAGGACTGAAAGAGCACTTCACATTGCCTTCCTCTTCCGGTCCTTGTACTCTCCTCGTGACCTAGTTAGCCACAGACTGACTTAGTGAGTCGACACTCACTGAAAACCCACGCCCACTGCCACCGAGTCCATTCCAACTCACAGCAGCACTACACAGGGATTGTGAGGCGTGCATTTTTAAAGGAGTAGACAGTCTCATCTTTCTCTTGTGGAGTGGCTGGTGGGCTTCAACCATCAACCTTGTGGTTAGCAGCCCAACACCTAACCCACAGCACCACTGGGGCTCCTAACATTCATTGAGGGCATCTCAATATCCCAATGAATCGATCTAGGACTCTCATGAGATTTTGGTAAACAACTTTGAGAAACGCATTCGTTTTACTTATGTGTGGCATTATTAAGGACCCTTGGTGGTGCGATGGTTTGGCACTTAGCTGCTAACAGAGAGTTTGATGGCCTGCACCCACCTGATGGCTCCGTGGGGAGAAGACCTGACAATCCTCTCTCATAAAGCTCGCAGCTGAGACAGCCCTATGGGGCAGTTTTACCCTGTTAAGATGGACTTGATGACAGTAAGTAACAGGAGGCATTATTAAAGCCACACTGCTAGTGGGGAAGCTGGAGTTCAGGAAGGCTTATTCACTTGCTCAAGGTGGCAAAGTTAGTAGGTACAAAGCCATGACTATTCGGGAGCCAACCTCCCTTGTTCTATAAGGGAAGCAGCAAACAGCAGCAGACAGGACTGTAACCTGTGCTCAGCTCAGAACAGGACCTATAAACCAAACCCACCTGCCATCGAGTTGATTCTGAGTCATGGTGGTGACCCCATGGGACAGACTACAACTGCCCCTGTGGGTTTCTACACTGACAATCTTCTTAGGAGGGTAGAGCTTCCTCTTTCTCCCTAAGTGGCTGGTGGATTTGAACTGCTGGCCTTTTGTTAGCACCCAATGTTAATCTGCTGTGCCACCAAGGCTGCTACAAGGAGAAGATGGTCATTTGTCATTTCCATCTCAAGTAATTCAGATGGAGGATCGACTAGATTCTTATTCTCACTCCCTTAATGCCTCCATATTATTAATATGAGATGGGAAACTGGGTCAAATCTAAGATAGACCATAATGAAACTTAATCCCCAAAATCTGAGGAATAAAGATATCATTTGTCAAAAAAATAAAATGCCAAAGCACAAAGCTAACACAGTGCAAATGAGGTGTCGTGGGAACCAAGAGAGCCTACTCAGTGGAGGCTTGGCGGTGAGCAGGCCGGTCCTAAGTAGGGTGTTGACGGATGAATGGCTATGTGGCTGGGCAGGAAGAAGGGTGGGGAGGGCAAGATACTTGGGCCAGTTTGTAAGGGGCCTTTACCTCCAACGCTCCTTCCTGGCTGAGACATACGCTACTTTAAGGGTTTCCATAACAATGAGTTGTTAGTGGTTGTTACTCTGGTCTGTGGGAACTGATGACACAAAATAGCAACAGGTATTATTAATGTCGCATTACAAGTGGGGAAGTTGGAGTTCATACAGGCTTATTCAGTTACTTGACAGGAAGGTAGTTTTGCTTCTAAAACAAACGAGCATCTCCATTAAAAACACCTGCTGATGGACAGCTGGCAGGTGCTGTGCTGGGGACCCGGGCCAAGGGGGCGGAGATGAGCACAGCCGGCCGGCCCGATATTCCTGGGGTTTACAACTTTACTAGACTAGCACCGTGCATTGAAGCCTAAGCGACCAAGCTCAGTGTTCTGAGGCTTAATAAAAATAAACTATGAACTCACATATACTTCACCAGAATTTCCGATAACAGTGATATAAATCTTTATGTACTTAATATTTAATGACCGTGAACAGGATCTAAACCCCATCTCCACTCTTTCCGGTTTCTCTGCTGGAAATAATTCATGGACCCCTCTGGCTTCTTCCAGTAACGTGCCTTACAGCCAAATGCCAGGGCAGCCAATAGCTTTCACATCTACACTGATTATAGCATCTAATTATTTCTTTAGAATCATTAAGAATTTTCAATACTCACATTATTCCGGAAGACTTGGAATTCTAGTGTTCTCAAATCTATCTTTGCCGCCTTACTCAAGTTAAACCTAAAATTTAAAATGAACATATATTTCTTTGTAAACAACATGAGAAGTAAAGAAGTTGTGGAACAATTATGAGGTCTGGGCTTTATCTGCAAATTGTAACTTTTGGTATACTGCCAGACTAAAATAATTTTCCAAAACTAAATGCCACAATTTGCAATTAATATTTTGTTTATGGTTTAAGAGTTTCAATGCTTTCTCTTTACAGATCATTTGACAAGGAGTTCCACCTGACTTCTTGTCTTCGCCTGAAAGCCATTCTAGATGCTTCACATACTATCAACCACCTTCTTAGAGTGTTCTTCGTATTTTCATTACAGATCCAGAATTTCTCTAACTCTATTACTGTCTGGAGTTGAGTAAAGTTTGAGAGATGTAACATGATGCTTCAAGGTAATACCAAAGCACAAATGTCTGATTAGCTAAAGCAAAACTTACCTTGACAATAACTTATCTACAAAGACTGAAGGGCTGGAATATAAAGCCAGAGGAATAAATTGAATATAGACAGGAACATCTGCGGGATTTTCTAAAGTAATCTCTTCTTCCTTAAACAGAGTAAGAGAACATTAAATGAAATATCTCAATAACTAAAAGCAAGACTATCCAAACTCTGAATTTCCCCAGTGCTGTCACTTTGAATACTTACTGAAGAGCAGTTCGTATTAGTAAGTGGAAATTTCAGGTGCCGGGGAGAGCTGAGTATGGAGGGCCACGAGAGCTCAGCGGTGATTTTTGATACTATGTTTTTTTGAAGGTCTGTATTTACTTCAAATGCAGCACTCAATCTAGAAAAAATAATTTATAAGCCACCGCATTAAAATGAAATATTTGAGTGTTTTGAATACAAGAAATTCTACTAGGCTTGTGTACTTGAGGAATTTTATTATGTCCAAGGAGAAAACAAGTTTATTGCTCTAATATTTTACTAGGCTTTTAATGTTATACAACAACGTCTCTACTGGGCGCTAAGAACTACCAAAATATGTCTCCTGTGCTGTTATTTTACTGACTATGGAAAGAATGACATCCTAGAACTAGTACCAACAGCTCTACAGCAATCCCACGCAAGCTTTGACAAAATTTGGTCTTTTGAACAAAGACCAAAGTTGAAAGCTGGACTGTATTAGGTACCATATTTTTAAAAGGCAGGTATACAAGGAAATACCACAAATCCTATATTTACAAATATATGTTGCTGTGGAGATTCCTAAAGGATCTTGTTTGCCGAGTAGAAAGAGGTAGATCCCAAGAACCCAAATTCTCACTCCTCTTGAGTCACCATGGCCTCCCAGGCTGCAAATCTTTCGAACAGCCTCGTCTTTTCCCTGAGGACGGTGGGTAGACCTGGACTGCTGACCGGTGGCGGGTCACTCAGGGTCTACCCACAGAGCCACCCAGGGCCTGCCACTCCCCTAGCGGAGTGCTAATACTTTCAGTAGAGCTGATGAGCACGTAGTGGATTACTGGCAATACGTTCTTTTTTTCTCCTTTGAGATTAAAAAAAAATATCTTCATATGGAATGAAAACTTTAGTTGGAGATGTAATACTGTGATATGTGCAAAATTTCCAGCAATCTTTAGAACACCACTTGAATATACATTGTCTTCACTTTTCCTTCCTTTTTTAACTTAGAAGTGTTTATAAGAGCATACAACTCAAGTGTTGGGAAATGGGGTGAAGGTCCCTGGGGCCAGCAGTGAGTGAATCTTACTCATGACACTATGGAACTATGCTAAGCTCCTTCTGGTAAAAGCACCAATTTTACAACACTAGGACTGACCAGGACACGGGGTTGGGCAGTGTGCTGTCCTATTGGTAGGTGCCAAAGAGCCGGTTCCGCCCCTTTGTGTACAACTGTGTGCAACAGGGCAGCACACGGCCCGGACCTGTGTTGTCGTCACAACTGGGGTCATTGTTGCAGCCACCGTGTCTCCGTTGTTGCTGACCCTCTACTTTACAGCAGGATGAGGTCTTTCTCCAGACTCGTCTCTTGTGACAGCGTGTCCAAAGCACCGGGGTAGTACCGCCCGCCGTCCTCACCTGTAAGAAGTCTCTTGGCTTCATTTCTGCCAAGTCAGAGTTGCTTGTTTTCTGGCAGTCAGTCCTTGGTATATTTGTCCACGATACCGCATTTCAAAGGCATCAATTCTTCTGTAGTCTTCCTTCCCTACCATCCAGCCTTCACACACACATGCCACGTGTGGTGATTGACAATACCACGGTACCTTTGTCTTCAAGGTAGCATCTTTGTAACACTTTACAAAGAAATCTTTTGCAGCAGATTTGCCTGATGCAATATGCCCTTTGATTTCCTACTTCCACAGGCATTCGATTGGTTAGGGACTGTGTCAACTAGACACGCCTGGGTACGAGAAGGGGCGGAGCTCAGCCAATCAATTGCATCACAGCTTGATGGCACCTTGGTGCCATGGGAAGTCTTTTTACATATGAGAGACCAGGAGATTTGAAGTCTCTGGCTCTTTGCCTTCTGGCAGAGCTGAATTTCATGTCTGTATCCCGACCTCGTGTTTCGTTACCTGCCAGTCCTAGGGGCTGTCAGGAGACTACCCTGACTTGAAATGGGCTGCAGTTCTCTACTTCTACAACTGTGCAAGCCGTTGCCTAGCAATCTCTTCCTATACACAACACATAGAGTGTCACCCACAGGCGTTGCTGTGGGTCCACACGAGAAAAGTGAAGTCTGTTATCACCTCAAAGTTTCCCTCGGTTACTATCATGTTGCTTACTGGTCCAGTGTGAGAAACTTTGTTTTCTTTATGCTGAGGTAAAATCCAAATGGAAGATTACAGTCTGTGATCTCTGTCCGTCAGTACTTCAGTCCTCTTCCCTTTTATCAAGAAAAGCTGTTGGGTCTCATCTACACATCACGGGTTGTTGGCGAGTCTGCCTCCCATCGCGATGCTTCTTCAGAAAACTACGGGCCTAAGCTCGCTGCAGCCTGAAGTAGCGTCAGGAAGAATACCACTTCCACTGTGCAGCCGGGACTTGGTTCTTCAGGCTGGGCAGGTTGTCCAGGTCGTTAGTGGGGAGCTGGATCCACAGACAGGCCATCCGGGTACTTGTGGGTGGGAGGGAGGTGAAGAGGTGTCCTGGCAGCTAAGCCTAAAGCGTAATCCTACGCAGAGGTTCAATCTTGGAGGCAGCCTGTACTTTTTGATGCCCAACATGGAGGTACAAAGGACCAAAAGAAAGAAAGAAACCTCACTGCCAGTGAGCGGATTCTAGAGGACAGAAAAAAATTGTCCCGCTGGGTTTGTTCTCTGGGGCAGAAAGCCTCCTCTTCCTCCCACGGAGCAGCTGGCCTGCACTGAGCCGCCTCATGCAGACCCCCATGCTACAGCACGAGTTCTAACTGGTGCTAGTTTACTGAGTCGATGGGAGGATGCGTCTTTGTTCTGAGTCCCACAGCTTTAAAGGTAAAAGTTAACTCTCCTGCATTATGAAAACATTCAGATAAAGGTTCACATTCAAGTGTCAATGCTTGAGAATTTTACAAGAATATAAACCAGAATATCTCAATAATCCCGATAACATATTCCTTCCCCAAGTTATCTAGCTTGGAAGAACAGCATTCATTAGCTGTCATCTTCTCATTGTTCTAGCCAAATTTTCCTCCAAAGTACATAAAAAGGCCATCTCTCTATACTGCCAAATAGGCATGTGTTCGCTTTCGAGCTCAGGGACAGCACTGGTTTGTCCCTGAGACATTTTCTACCTGCAGAGACAGGCGGCGCTGCCATGTGTGAACTGCCCCGGCCTCTAACAGCTCGGCAAGTGGCTAGAGAGCCACACTTGGGAGCAGAGAGTACTTCGCACAATGAGCACGTATGCACTCTGATAGCTCCTGCAGAACTAAACCTAGAAACCGTTTCCTTTGCCTCTGACAGAGGTCAATGGAAGGTGAAAACGTTTTTCCTTAGACAAATGGGGCTATCGAAGGGGAACACTGGAGTCACCTTACACAAAGACATCACCATTGAGCTTGATTTTCAGGAAGTGTCCCGTGAAGAAATCTCCCTTGGTATCCAGAGGGGATTGATTCAACGACCCCGTACCCCTTCTAGATACCAAAATCTGACGATGTTCCAAGTCCTTATATGAAACATGTAATGGTCCTTCTGCACACCTTCAATCGCCTTTAGCTTACTTACACTGCCTACTACACTGCGAACGCCATGCAATAGCATTTTATGTTCTCCCTCAGCCTTTCAAAGCTGCTCTGACCACACGGTGGCTGTTCAGGAGCCATTCCTCCCCACTCTGAATAAATGACAATGTATGGTAACTCATTAGTAACTTTCTGAAGCCTAGGCACATTTTCTTAGCTATAAAGAAGTAATAAACCTAATATAAGAATAACATTTAGAAAGTAAAATTAACCGAGAAGTCTCAAAATTTGTGAAGCTAAGTGAAAAACAAAACCACTTACCTGTGACCTGCATTTTCCTTTATTGCCATCCAGCCTTTGAACAGGCTTTGGTGCAAATCCCAGTCAGTTTCCCACAGATCTTCCTGCATGGCCGCACCAGGCTGGATTTTGGGTTCGGCTAAAACAAGAAAACAGCCAGAAGTTGCCAGTCATGAATTTTCTTCACATGCTTCCTATGGTACCAAGACGCAGGGATGGACTTGACAAGTGGCAGCCTCGGATTAAAAATTACTTGGGGTTGATGGCTTGTGAGAGAGGGCAGCAAAGTAACTTACATTTGGATAGAAAAGGCAACCCAACGTAGCAATGGTCCCCACACTGCAGTCCCGGATCAAAATAAACGTTTGCGATCTAGAAAGAGGGCACAGGAGAACCATGAATCCCAAATCCCAGAAGGTCGCTGGAACCAAGGACTGACTCGGAGGAATTCCCAAACACAACATTTTCAAACCTTTGATTTCTTCCCTGGCTCCAAGTCTTCCTTGTTGCCCCGTAATCGTTTGTAATAAAACCGCACATCTTCAGATAAGGAACGTATTTGTTGTATCTTTACCTTCTGTGAGAAGGAGTTCATAATATTTAAACTTTGATGAACTATTTTACCCTGAAGAAAAATGACAAGACAAAAACAATACTCATTTGTACATGGCTGGATTTTCTTAAAATACATGTTATGGAGCTGAGGCCTATTTTCAAGAAACCAGAATCCAGATAACATTTACGTGTCATCCTCGTGGCGGGGCATGCTCGTCTCCTCTGGGTCGTTCCAGTTTTAGTCTAAGTGCTGCCGAAGTGAGCACCACATAACATCCAGAAGTTTTTTTCAGTTAATAATTCCTAAGTTTGTAATGAGAACCCCATCCCTCTGCCCCAACACTCTGTGTGTGTGTGTGTGTGTGTGTGTGTGTGTTGATGGTGGTAGCAGTGTCATGGCGGCATGCTACAGAAAATAATGTAAAAAACCTCGGAATCCTTGAAAAAGGAATCAAAGTACAAATGTTCACAGTTTATTAGAATTACTGAGAATGTTAACAAGGTTCAGTTAGAGATCACTTTAATTTTGACGTATTTTATTGCTTTTTTAGTGAGTTTACCTAGCAAGCTAGCCTTCCATCTACCTGGGCTCAGTCTGCTCCCTTTCCAGTGCTCTAGTTTCCCTGCCCCCTTCCTTGTTTCTCCATCCTGGATTCTGTGTAATGGTTGGTCTTTCGGTCTCAGACTGGTTTTTAAGCTGGACACCGATCTTAACAGGTAACAACACCCTTTTATTTTGTGGACCACTCTGCTAAGTTTGCTAAAAGGTAATCTCAGGGCAGGTTTGGTTCTAGATTTAAAGAGTGGAGGTTAAAATGAAAAGGGTTGGTGGTGGAGATAGCTTTAAATAAGCGCAATGGTCACTTTCGTTTGTTAAGGAAGGCTCGTTTATACCAAGTAAGCCTGTGCTTCTGATTCCCCGCCATTGGAAAGTCTCTACAATGGTCAACCTCACTGGTTTAGTGCCCGGTGTTAACAGAAAAGGTAAGGGACTGTACAGGAAAGAGTTGAGTAACTGATGTCATGGTCAGCGCTGAATCATTTACAGTCTAGAGAGGGTAAGACGCACTGCATGGCACCCATGCTGACTCACAGCAACCCTACAGGACACGGCAGAACTGCCCCTGTGGGTTCCTAAGACTGTGACTCTTTATGGAAGTAGAGAGCCCCATCCTTCGCCCGCGGAGCAGCTGGTGGTTTTGGCCTGTTGCTGTTGTGAGTCACAGCCCAACTCGTGACCACGACTGCCCCGGGGCCCCTTACAACAGGAGAAGCCCTGAGAGGGCGAGAAGCTGTGGGCTGGAAGGAAGAATCAGGAAGCAGCAGACCTGTGCTGAGTCCTCGTTTGGCCTCTCATGAGCTGCCATTAGTCTTGGCCACCTGGACTTTAGGTACCTGCGGTCCTCTGTGCCTGCTTCTCAGGTGTGGTAAGGACCAAAAGAAGTAACAGATATAAAAGTTCATTCGACAATTTCTACTCAAATACCAAACATTTAAACTATGCTAACTGACTAGATGTAACTGTCGGATAAGGCAGTTTTTTTTTTGAAAAAAAAAAAACAACAGAATTTGGTACTGTAAGGCTAATTTAGACGATATTTGAAAGTGTCATCTGAAGTTGTTCAGCGCCCACGGTGGCCCAGTCACTTCTGACTCATGGGGACCCATGTTTTACAGAGCAGAACTGTTCTATATGGCTTCCATGGCCATAATTGTTACAGAAGCAACTTGTCAGGCCTTCCTTTTAAAGGGACCCATTCTCCTTTACCACACCCATGGGCCCTTTTGCTATTTATCAAATGTCTTATGACCTCTTCCCTTCCAGAATGTATGCGGTGATTGAAATGACTGAGAAGGTAGTGGAAAGAACATAGTCCTTTCAGATACATACCGAAACAAGAATTCTATGTAGTTCACACAAAGTGGAATGACAGGAAGATGCAGTAACGCCCAAACTTAAATGCACCAAAACTGCCAATTCCCAATCCCTTTGAAGTGAGATTTTATTCTATACACTCTAGGATTCTGCACTGGGTGACTTCTTCCAAACCACCATGTCTCCTGCCACAGGAAGAGCCATTTCTACATGTGCACCACTTTGTCCCAACTGCAAGAGGCAGTTCCCTGCTCCTGGGATTCCCAGTTCTCTTCTCATGCTCAAATCCAAATCATAATTTGACTCCCCCATCTACGTGCCTAAGGAGCCTTGGTGATGCTGTGCACTAGATGCTGGGCTGCTATGCACAAAGTCTATGGTTCAAACCCACCAGCTGCTCTGTGGGGGTAAGATGAAGCTGTCTACTCCTGTAAAGACTTGTGGCCTCAGAAACCCTAAGGGGCACTTCTACTCTTTCCTAGAGGGTTGCTGTGAGTCAGGATCAACTCCTCACACCCACTGCAACTTGTATGACATTTGGGAACAGTTCAAACAATACAGCTGTCAAGTCTCTTGCCTATGGTTCCTTCATCCATCCATTATCGACTGAGCACCTACCACTGAGGATACACCGAAGATCCTTCAATGGGGAGGTCAACATTTGGAAGATAATTATAGCACAAAGTGTGGCTTGCTGCAAGAGAGGTTTTTCAAAGTATTCCAGGATCACACAGGAAAGAACTAATGCTGTAGAGAGAATTCAAGAAATCTTCAGAGAAAGGTGACAATTTAAAGCTGAATCTTAGAAGCTGTGTTCTTGGAAGCGAGGAGAGGAGGAAGGGCATTCAAAGCAAATAAACAGCAAAGACTTGGGCAGCTGGGTGTATAAAAGGTTGTACTGCCTTTGCTATATAGCCCCATGTTCAAACCTTTCCTCGCCACTTCTCCTGTGGACTCTGGCCAGAGTGTCGGGGTTGGTGGCCCTGCATCCAGGCTTCTATATGCTTCTTGAATTTGCTTCTACCAGAGTGCCAATCTTTGAAGCCGAGCCCCGATGATGTCAAGCTCCGGCTTGAAAGCTTTGGTTCTCCATGGATTTAAATGCATTCATTTTTTCCCTCATCACGTTTTTCACCCCAACACACCAATCCACCTTCTCTCTTAAAACTTCCTTCTCATCTTGCCATACTCAACAATTCACTATTGCCTGAACGTATTTCAGACTTTATTGCCTGAGTTTATTCAGGTTGAGGGCAAATTCTGACCACACTTCTCTCTCTGCCAGAAGCGGCGCTAGGCTGGTTCACAGGGCGACTTCACCAGCCAGCACCGCTTTATTTTTACTCCTCTTTGGGCACTTGGGTTCCTGGTGGCGTAGCGCACTGGGCTGTTAATTGCACGGTTAGCAGTTTGCAACCACAGGCTGCTCTGTGGAAGAAGGGTGAGTCTTTCTGCTCCCGGAAAGATGTAGTTTTGGAAACCAAGGCAGGCAGTTCTACCCTATCCTACAGAGTCAGAATTGACTTAGTGCTAGTGGGTTTGAGCAACTGGGTAAGCACTGGGCCAGTCACCAGAAGGTCGGTAGTTGAAAGCCAACAACAACTCTATGGGAAAAGGTGAGGCTTTCTACTCTTGTAAAGATTTACAGCCTCAGAAATCCTACATAGGGCCGGTGAGTTAGGAAGGTCCTGGGGCATAGTGGGTTTTCTGCTTCTGCAAAGAGTTGCAGTCTTGAAAACCACAGGGGCAATTCTACCGATAAGCACGCTATGAGTAGGAATCAACTGAGTGGCAGTGAGTTTGTGTTTTTTTGGATCTTGGGGCAATTACTATACATCTATGAATTCTGGGCCTATTCTAAGTAGGACAGTTCTTGAGAGAAAGTATTATTCCTTATTCTTTTTTCTAGATCCTTAAGGCCCTTATACTGTGTCTTGCCTTATAATAAATGATTACTGAAGAATAACGGATTTGGATCTAGGAGCATACATGTGAAGGTAAAGGACAATCTAGAAGAAAAGTCTGTAAATTAATGGTCTTACTGGAAAGGTTGGTGGGAGAGCCATATGCTTTGGGAAGCAAGTAAGCGAACCCACTGCGATCACAGCCTTCACAGGAATTGTTAAGATCTGTGGAGGAAAGAAGCAGACCACAGAGAAATAAGTGGTTAAGTTTGTTTTTGATCCTGACAATTGTTGCATTAATTTTTGGGAATTAAAAAAGAACATTCATTTTAGAACTTACATTAGTAATAATCAAGTCACAGCTGTTATTGAAATGACCCAGAGATATCACTTTATCTGCCTAATGTATTTTATAAAATATATCAAAATATAATACATTTCTCAGTGATTCACTGAAAACATGGCAAACCAGACTCAACCTTGGGGAAGAATGAAGACACGTTTTATCTAATTAATTTAAAGAAGAAAGTCAAACTGAACTCGTAAAACAATGAATGAAAATCCCACCGAGACTTATGCAGAGCTCCTTTTGAACACAGCAGTACAAACAATTAAAAAAGAAAAAGGACCTGAACATTCTTTTTTTTTTTTTTTAATTTTTTAATTTTTATTTATTTATTTTTTAATCATTTTATTAGGGGCTTATACAACTCTTATCACAATCCATACACACATCAATTGTGTAAAGTGCATTTGTACATTCATTGCCCTCATCATTCTTTTTT